CCCCACAAGCCCAAAATATGCCACTCACTTTGCTGCCATGGCAAGGGGGTACTGGAAGCCATACTGCTGCTGGGCGGAGGGGGTGGCGGAGGCTGCTGCTGCTGCTGTTGCCATGGGGGAAGAGGACCAGAAGGTGGGGGCGGGGGCTGCCCACTGGGCGGCGGCGGCGGTGGCGGCATCATGCCCATAGGCGGCGGCGGCATCATACCTATAGGTAGGTGAAGGAAAGGGTGAGGCCTCTACGAGGAGAGAGATTTGGGATAGACCCCCATTCATTCCCAGGCCCTATTACCTTTTCCTTGATGCAGGCGATAGACCCCAGAGCCCACAGGCGTACTTCCCAGGTACTGATCTTGATGGAAGGAAAGAGCAGGGACTTAGCAGGACATTTGAACTGGCCAGGGAAGTCACCCCCATCAACAGCTTATTCGGTCACATAGCTTGCAGTCACTACCCTTACAAGATCAGTTCTGTAAGAGATAGGCCTGTGCCTACTCCATTACGAAATCCATTCCTGAATCAGAATGGAATCTTGCTCCTCCTCGAACCCAACCCTTGACAAAAGACCCAATGCAATACTCAGCCACTTTGAGAACTGCTTCTAATTTGCAGCAACCTGCTGTAACCCGTGCTTATCCCAAAGCCCCAAGGTTTCTGGTCTGACACTTACTTACCCATTGGAGGAGGGCCATGGTGCCCAGGTGGGTGGGGGCCCTGGTTCATCGGTGGTGGTGGTGGCTGCATCCAAGGGGGTGGGGGCCCATTAGGGTTGTGCTGCATGGGATGTCCACCATGCCCACCTGTCAGGCTGGGTAATGGGTGTGGGAAGCTGTGGGGGCCACCTCCAGGCCCACCAGGACCACCTCCATGCATGCTGTGGTAGGGTCGACTCTCTGAAGGGCCAGAATTCATCCAGGGTGGGCGGCTCTGGGTGGTGGACATGAGAGACTACGTGAGAGCATTTCCCGCCAACGTCCCTGCCTGCTGCCCCTGGTGGCAACATTGTTCTCTCGGCTATGCCAGAGGACCAACACACAAGGACAGGATCTCCCCAGAGTGAGGTCCCCAAACACTCTGACATCCCGGAAGAACAATGTTGCCAGCCATGTCCAGCAATCTGCTATGCCCAAAGTACCTAGCCACAGCCCCCAGAAAGAGGATGGGGGCCAGGCCATAAGAACCAGCTCCTGAAGCTCACCGGTGGTGGCGGGTTGTTGGCAGGAGCAGCAGGCCGAGGTGCACTGGCCAGAGGTGTGCTGGCAGGCCCAGAGGTGGAGCCCACGGATGCTGGTACGGGCGCTTCACCCAGTTCAGCCATGAGGGACAAATATTCTTTATCCATCCGTGCTTTATCCTGAGCTGACTGGGGATCACCAGGCCTGACGGTGGGGCGGGGGACACAGAGAGAAGAAGAAATCATTAAGCAACTTTTACCCTGAGGAATTTAGAGAAAGTTGAGGAACTGAATCATCCTTTCTAACATGTTCTTCAAAAGTCTCATCAGCTTTTCAGCTGTGTGCCCAGCTCGGTAGCTGGGACTACACGTATCTCTGCCACAGCAGAGACCCCTGGGGCAAGAACAGGGAGACAGTGAGCATCAGACCACAATCAGCCATGTCAGCCAGCAAAGCACAGGTTCTTCTAAGGAGCAAGTTTCATCAAATTCTGCATTCCCAGTCTGAGGAAAGGATATCTATGCAAGACTGGAACATAGCTTCCAGGACTTCCTTAGCAAAGCCACCCCAAAAGTGGGAAAATGTTGCTATCATGTGCTGGTTTGCAACTGGTCAAATTCCTTACACTATTTAGTCTTCTTAAACCAATTTTCAGCATCATAAAAAGGCACTTAATTTAATATTGAGACACAGTAAAAGCACTTATACCCTGCCCGTGTAGCTCAGTTGGAGCATCGTCCTGTACACTAAAAGGCCTCCGGTTCAATTCCCACTCAGGGCACATACCCAGGTTGTGGGTTTGATTCCCCAGTTGGGGTGCACATGGGAGGCAACTGATTGCTGTTTATCTCTCACATCGATGTTTCCTCCCTCTTCCTCTAAAGTCAATGGAAACATATCCTCAGGTGAGGATTAAAAAAAAAAAAAAAAAATCTTTGTTTTCAGCTTTCCTGGGCTGAAGATGAATAAAATAGGTGTTTGGCCCTGCCAGCGTGGTTCAGCAGTTGAACACCGACCTATGAACCAGGAGATTTTGGTTCGATTCCTGGTCAGGGCACATGGGGCACATGCCCGGGTTGTGGGCTCAGTCCCCAGCGAGGGGTGTGGGGGAGATAGCTGATCAATGACTCTCTCATCACTGAAGTTTCTCTCTTCCCCCCTCCCTTCCCCTCTCTGAAGTCAATGAAAACACACATATATATAACATGTGTATATATACATATATGCACACACATATCTATTTTAAAAAGAGGTCCTCTGCACAGCCTGTTTCTAATCATCCTGGGCTTTAAGTTGCACTGTTACAGACCGCATTCACAGAAAGGAAAACTTTTCCTGGGTCCACTGGTTAATAGCAACCAGCCAATGTGCTAAAGAGCTATCCTGTACACCACAGGCTACCAGCAAACCACGACTGCAGCCCCTTACCTTTGGAATTTGCAATCGGAAGCAATGTGGCCAGCCCCTCCACACTTAGTACACACGGTAGTATTGGTAATGCTACGGGTCTCTGAGCTCTGCCAGGGTCTTAAGATCCTGTTGAGAGAAAAAAAGTCACCTCAAGGGCTATGGCCAACCTCTCTTACTTTGTTAGGTTCTGTAGGTCTCCTGTGTGCACCCCGCCAAACTGATCACACACCTGTTATCATCTTCCCGAAGGGTTCCATTCAAGCGTGCCAACTCCCGAAGCTGCATTTTCCGTAGATCGTTCTGGTCCTCAGGGGTCTCAATACCCTGCTTCAGGATGTTTCTTATCTATGGAGACACAATGGGCAGTTACGTAGGCACTGAGAAGACCACTACCTAGATTTCTGGCAAGAGGCTTCCTTTCTGGCTCCCTCACCTGTTCTACTGCTTTCTTCACATTTTCCATGGTATTGGCGGTAACCAGGGCATGAAGTGGCTCATCTTCTCCTGGCAACATCTGGCCATCTTTGCGCCCAACTTTCCCTTCTTTCACAGACCCTTTCCCCCGGATCATTATCTTGGCATTACACTCCTTCTCTATGTTCTTCAATGTGTTCCCTCTATCAGATGCAGAAATAAAATTGAGTTGTTATATACCTGACATGCAAATTCACAAGCCAGAGAAGACAGAAGGTGGGCTGATCATGCACTGGTAAGAAACCGTGAGTGCAGAGAACTGGATTTTCCCAAGAGATCCATGATCTGTTAAGATCAGCCACAGCAATCCTCAAGATTTGACTTCTCTGAAGTAAAATTAGGAGATTAGATTTTCTCACAGGAAAGCATGACTTCAGCCAAAGTGAAGGGCCTACCAAAAACAGGAAGGGGCCAGCAATGGCACCAAGTAGGACACCTACCCACGGGCAGGGAGCTGCTTACCTGGGCCCAATCAGTAGCCCCACAAAGTTGATTTCCGGATATTCGTCTTGCGGGATCATTACTTTATCGCTCACACGTGTTGCCGGAGGTCTAAGGAAGAAAAGACTCATTGACTGCACGTTTCTGAAGCGACAACAGCTCTTCTAGAACCCTTGGCGCCGTGTGTTAAATTACAGGTGATTTTAGGTAAGAGGTGAGAAGACAGTACCAACATTGTTCTACCACATCTCACACAATCTGCATGTGTCCTTGTCTCAGATGACCCAGCCTTTCTGCTTACTTGTAATCTGCAGGTGGCTTAAAATCAGGGTTGAGAGCGACCATTTCTGTGATGAGGTTATGCCGCTCCTCTTCCAGCTTTTTGCGAGTGCGGAACTCACGGGTGTTAAGCCGCTTCCCCTCGCTATTATAGATGGGTTCAGGGGAAGGGGACCTGTGGGAAACAGACCACCGTTACTGCTCTACCTTCCCTTTTCATTCATCCCACATGGGCTATAGTAAGTCTTCCCCAGCCCCTCTGCCTCAGACCCTAACACAACACTCTTCGGAGGAACCGACCATAACGTGTGCTATTCAAGATCGTGTGGAATGGGGAGATGGAAGCTGGCTTAATATTAGGGGGACTGGGGTGTGTGTGAGAAAGGAATAAAAATGGTTTTGCTTCTTTCTAAAAATGATGAGGGAAAAAAGTCTGTCTTTCTGGGGGAAAATCTCTGGACTGCAAATGGCAAGGACAGTACTCTCTGGAGTCTTCTTGCCAAATATGAATTTTCTATCATTTGCAAAAAATTTTACAGTATTACACCTTTATGAACCACAGAAACCCCAAGTTTAGGTAAAATGTTAACTCTTGCAGAGCTCATGCCCCATCAGGAAGTGTATGTACCCCTGCCACATAGTAAGTATGAGCTCTTTAACCCAAAGCAACTAGGACTCAAGGCTACTGCAGCTACTTGGCCCCCACAATGGAGAGATGGTTCAAGGCTTCGTCTCTGCTTTTCCTTCAATGGCCTGACTGGCTGTATCCAAGGCCCAGGAGTCAACCTGTTTTCTGGCTGTTCGAGGTTGGGGAGTCTGGGTAGAGAAAATGTTAAAGTGCTAAAGCAGCTTCCAAGAGAGGCTGCAAATGCAGTTTGGTCAAGTACTTGTCTGAGGTCTGGACCTGCAAACAGCAAGGGGAAAACCTACGCTTCTCCACCAGAATTTACAAGTCCAGAAAGCAGATTTTCTCTCTCTCTCTGTTTTTTTAAGGAGTAAAATGCTGTTGCTACAAGTAAAAAATAGTAATGATAAAATGATCCATTTACCACAGCTGGATTTTGCGGTAATAATAAAAAAAAAAGAGAAGTTACACTCCTAGAATTCTAAGTTAAGATTACAAAAAGGACCATAGCTTGATATTCTGAATGAAAATTTAGTAGCAGCTGCAAGAAGGGAAGAGATCATGTGGATCAGGTTATTTAAAAAACATCCTGAAAGTAGTCAAGATTCCTACACCCTTGGTTTAGTTGAGAGAACCTTGCCTAGTTGGAGAGCAAGGACTGAACTCGGCTGCTCCCACTGTCTTCAGCCTAAAGGGAACCATGTCATCCGTTACACACACGATGGAATAAAAGGTCAGGTTTGTTCATGGCTAATGACGGCTAAATGACACCTCCGTTTCTAGCATTTGTATAAACTGTTAGCACAATCCAGTAATAGTGAACAAAAGCAAACATACCCCAGCTTATCAGACTAACACCTTATACATTTAAGTCTACAAGCAATTTTAAAACATTTTTAACTGTGCAACTTAAGCAACATCAAAATGGCATAAAGTGGCTTATATTGAAAATACACCTTTTTAAGAAATAATCTTTAATTAAGGTAAGAAACTCATGCATTTCCCTCCAACCTGGGCTTGAAAGCAAAACCAATCAGGCATTAGGGACTCTCTCAGACTGAATAGAAGGGAGGAAAAGTCTGCTCTGGTTTTATTTCTAGCATGCTTGACATTTCTAATTCCCACCTGATAGCTATCTAGAATTAAGCATTTCTAGCTAATCACCAAACAAGTTTTAGCAATACAAATTGGTCATTTAAAGGCCTCATAACAGTTTAACCTCTTCCCAAGTTATGAATGTGAAAGGCAAAAGCTGATATCCTAAAGGTTAGATTGGCCCAACTTCTTCACTTTGAGTAAGCATCGTATAGATCAACTAAATTCTAATCCCAGTTCTCCAGGAAGCAAAGGTTTGTTAAAAATTCAACCTTTTGAGGAATTGCCTGGTTACCTGTAATTTTCTTATTAAAAGAAAAAGGCCAAAAAGGCACTTAACAGTTGTGGTCTACAACCTACAATGCAAATCTTAAAAAATAAAAAGTCAAGAAATACAAAATACAACCCTCCAAACAAAATCTACAGGTAAAAAGATAAGTAAAATTAAAGTCATTTGTTTCCCAGCAAAAGGCAGCACAAAGATGTGTAAGAGAGTGCCTTCTAAAACCATTACATCTTCCGGATTTAACAAGCTATTAATTGGGTAACAAAAGCCCCAACACTACTTTTTAAAGCGAAGTGTTTTCAACTTTGCTGCATGCACTCAGAAAAATTTCACTTAGAGGGAGGCATACTGCTCTTCCAATTAAATGGACCAGATTTTAGCTGTTCAAAGACCACAATCAGCCAATAAAATTCCTGTTTAAAAAGTTCACTTCCCTTGGAAATACTTTTTTCTTTTCACAGGTGAAATTGAAAACTGAGATAACATCACCACAGCTGTTTGAGGACCACACACCCCTTAAAAAAGCGGGGGGCAGTAATAGAGGGTTGGTTGCTTGCCTTCCCAAAATAAGTAAGAATATTCTGGCCCCTCCCAACACCCCAGGCAATGATCAAGGCTGAAAATTAACTGGCAGTGAAGGAAGTTGGTTAGAAGTTTGTCTATTTTAAAACCATCTCAAAACCATGAGCAGGAAGATTATAGCAATGAGCTGACCAGATTGAGTGTTTCTGGCCTGCTCAAATTCAGTGATGTTCAAAAATATTCTTAATTCCTGCATCGTGACCTGTGAGAAAAACTCTACACCCTGGGCTTTCAGCCAAAGCAGGTACTGAAAAGGCTGGTAACGGCCCACCTCACTTTCCCTATGGGTGGGCAAATCAGGTTAAAATATACATGCTTACCAAGTAGAAACCAGTTGTCCATTTTACTGTAACTTCTTATTCTGCTAGTAATTAAGTTTCATTTCAATTTTTTCCTAACTGATGACTGACCATATATAATGCTAGTCAAACCCTACTCCCCAGAATGATCAGAGTACCAGTCGTCTTACTAGGATTTTATTGAACTGACACAATATGTTGCCACCAGTAAAACGTATTGAGAAAAAGGTAAAAGCGTTACTGTCAGCTGGTTAAAACTGTTTCCCAACCTGTCCTCAGGGTTAGGGGGGATGCCCAGGTCTCCTGTGCGCAGTTTACGAGTCAGGTCTTCTATCTGCAGTTGCACTGGAAGAAACCAGGTTAGGAAAGAAAAAAAAAGGATGGAAAAAAGACAATGTTACCAAAAAACATCTCAAATCTCAACAACAAGCATGAAGAACTCGGAGACTTTGAAAGGGACGACTGATCAGTGAACACACTGAGGCAAAAACTCCCAACCACCTATCGGCAGGAGTCCATTTACATCTATAAGTCTTTTTCACTTCAAAATGGTTATCACTTAAGGAAGCAAACAGTTTGTTGGAAGAGGGGTTAGCAGTATAGACTGTTCACTATAGCTAACATCAAACCAATTATCAGGAGGTGTTTCACCTCTCCCCCCCACCAAGGCTATAACAATTGGCACCCAGCACCAAACCATGTACAATCACCAATACCCCGTTCCCACCCAATTACTTTCTTGAGGGCAAGACTCTTGAGAGTTAATTTTTCTTCATTAAATATTAAACATAGCCCAAAATGTGACCCAATTAATGTGGGACAAGGAAAAACACCAGTTGAGCAAGGATTATTTCCATTGATACCAGGCTTAAAATTCCTTAAGCAAGACAGTTAATAACCAATTCAACACCTCACAGAAGTTCATACATACTTTCTGTACAACCAGATCCATATTAGTAGTAATCTCTCAATACCTCCTACTTTTATTCAAATCTTAGATGACAATCCATATACCTTAATAAATCAGTAATGGTAAAGATTCAAGAAGTCTGTTTTTAGGCTTGTTCCTTACATGAGAGTAAACATAGGAGTGTAGAGGAGAATGGGTTAAGGGGATGATGTGGCCCTCAGACCTTGACAAATGAGGCAGAACATGAAAAAGAGAGAAGAGGGTTTCACAAAAGTTCAGTGACTCCAAGGAAATGCTATCCGGCTGATTACTCAAAATAATGGGACCTGCAGAGCCAGATCACTTTCTTCAGCGTGAACAGCCACCTATTTCTTACCTTTGCAGCATCTGAGAGTTCTGAGCAGGTATCTCTAATAAGAGCAAGTCTTACTGGATTGGGTTAAAGTTGAACTGGCTCCAAGGCAGGATTAATGTATGCCTAACCCAAGAAACCCTTCGAATTTTCAGTACATCCCACAGGGCTACACCACACACCCATTCAAACTCTGAAGGAACGAAAATCTACATTAATATTGAAAAAACACTGGGGGCATTCTGTACAAGGCAATGTGTACTGAGAGAGACAGAAGAAAGACACATGGCTCCCTCTAATCTCTTTTATGCCAGAAAAGTTCTGACTTGGCAGTTAAGTACTAAGCTCAACAACTCAAGGTGAAAGTTGCCTTCATGAGGGTAGACAGTTCTCTTAACTGGACTGCAGGAGCGGTAGGGTATGATGTAAGAAAACAGCTGGCACTTAAATCAAAAGGTTGCTATCTTCCTTGGAGTAGAAACCTACATCAGCCCCAGCTTTGAGTCTAGCTCCTTCGATTATAGCTATAAATAGCCCTTAGGGCTCAGTGCATTAATTCCTTCCAGAGGAAAAGAACTGGAGTTGTACAGAATGAGCTTGTTTTCCCATTTTCTAAGTCAGCTTGTGGTCATGGGATACTGCTCCACAAGGGAGCTGTGAAGATCCAGAACTATCTAATATGAGAGAGAGAGAGAAGAGACTGGGTGGGAGTAGATAGAACAGTGGAGGAATAAAAATATTAGTACTGTGAATATTAGACAATTCCAACACCTCAAAATTCTCAGCAGTCTAAAGAATGTAAGACATGATCCTCAAGAAAACAAGAAGCCGGCCTTGTAGCTTTTCATTTGTAAAGGCCATAGCCTCACAGGTGCAGGAAACCACTGCCCTAATTTACTCCAAAGGGGGTGTTTATTTGGTTAGTAGGAAATATTTATCAAGTGAACTTTTTTGAGACAGCTGCACAGGTACATGAATAAAGGTCAAACTTACATGAAAAACCTTGTATCATAAAAAAAGGAATTCTGAGGTTAACTTAATTCCCATTGTGGACAGTCATTCTTAATTCTTAAAATTTCTAACAGTTAAGATCTTTTATCCTACCACCTTATTCCATATCCAAGCAACATCCCTTTCCCAGCAGAGTTCTTTAGTAGTGATACAAGAGCCCTCACTTTAAGACAGCTCTCTAAAGATCAAACCAGAAAAAAAATGCTGAAGGAAAGGTTAAACTCAACAGAATGGTAAAAAGGGGGTGCCACTGTAAACACTCTCAGAACCACATTTTGATTAAATTGAGTTTTTTCCTTTCAGAAAGTACCTATAAAAAGTAAAAGACCACATTTTAGGGGAAGGGAGAAATGTGAAATTATGGTGAAAGGCCATGCTGTGAAAAAGGTACTTGGTTTTACAATACCTGCAGTGTTCTCCACTGGGGCCGTGTCCAGAGAGGCATAAGACACTCACCTCATCAACTGGCAATAACAGCAGCTGAAAAGGGTGGGCTCTAAACTGGGGACTATTCTTACTCCTAAGTGGGCCCCTTTACTTTGCTGGTACTCACGGAGAACACTGCTGTTACCAACAGACCATAACAAGGAACTGCAAATGCAGGACCCACAGAAAAAAAACTGAAGGGTTATTTCAAAGTTGTGAAAATACACCTGACCATACCATTATCTCAAAAAAGAAAACTTTAAAGTCTCAAGCCTAAAACGGATAAATGTCACTGAGAATGTTAACAATCTCAAAATGCACTTGGGTGCAGAACGTGTATTTACCTATATAAGCTCTTTCTTGTTCCCGAGTAAGTCCAGGGGGGATAACTGTGGGCATTCCTGGAATCACCGTTTTCTGTTCCATTGTGTCTTGGTTCCAGCGGCTCCTCTTCCGCTTCTTACTTGGGAAATCTAAAGGCAAATAAAGTCCATCAGATGCAAATACAACCACCAGAGAAACTACCAACAGGCAGTTCAGGATACTTATGACATTACACGCAGCTCAGCAGACTGTGAAACTGAGAACTTGACCTAAAACGCAAATGGCAAAGAATGGAGCCAAACCTGAGAAATCAGAGACATATGGGCACCTGGAAGGGGGTCCAAAAAGTTAACATTTTAGAGAAACTCTGCAAAGTACGTAAACAAGGTAACAAATCTTTTTTTAAATAAATAGTTTATTGATTTTTTAAGAAAGAAAGGGAGAGAAACATTGCTGTGTTGTGTGCAACATCAATCAGCTGCCTCCTGCACACCTCCCACCAGGTATTAAGCACATAACCTGGCCATGTGCCCCAACAGGGAATCAAACCAGTAAACCTTCGGTGCACTGGACAACACCCAAGGTAACAAACCTTAGGAAGTTTCAGATACAGAATAAAGTGTTGAGAGAATATATACATCATCCATGAAGGCTTCACAAGCCCCAAGGGAGACAGGAGGATGAATTACCAAACCAGCTTGTAAAGTTTAGTGGGGGACTGCTGGCTCCTCCCACCTCCACCTCCCCACCTTTCTAACTGGGCCAGAACCTGACAAAACCTACAGCAGATTTCTTAAACAAGATCACTTTTTTCTTCAAAAGTTTAGTTGAGATCAGCACTGAATTTTCGCAGCTATTTGGACACCATGTCTGACATACCAAAAGTTCAAAAAAAGCCCTGGCCAAGTAGCTCAGTTGGTTAGAGCATCCTCCCTGTACACCAAGGATTCAGGTTTGATTCCCAATCAGGGCACATACAAGGACCAACCAGTGAATGCATAAGTAAGTGGAACAAATAGATGTCTCTCTCAAAATCAGTAAAATTAAAAACTTTAAAAAAAAAATTTTAACCCTTCAAAAAAAGGTTGAAGAGAGAACTATATAATAATAGCTAAATCCTCCTTACCTACGCATTTGGTACACGTCATTCTACTTCCCAGGGGGCACAGGCCCTGCGTGAAGCTCCAACCCCAACCAGGAGGAGATGTACCACACTTCTCTAAGATCAACTTAGGGAGGTTAGGGGAAAAACCAGAATTCCCTCCCCCACCAAAAGAGCCACAAAAGGTTGGACCCAACGATGCCCTTAAGACTTTCAACTCTTTCGTTCTTAGACTCTGCCTTTGACTCCTCTACAACCAGGAAGAGGATGTTCCACGTCATCACTTAACTCTTTCACACTCTCCTGACATGCACACCCAGCACCCTGTCCACCTACTCGAACCCCTCCACACTTCTTCCCTACACCAGGGGATAGAGACCAACTGGGGACCCCCGCCCCCAGCTTCTAGTCGGAACTTACAGCCTGGCAGCGCACTGCGCCTGCGCACAGCCACCCCGCCCCCGCTCAGCGACCGCACAGCT